GCAACCACCACAGGCCCAGGGCCTGTTTCGTCTGGACTGGGGCTCAGCCTCTCTGGGCCTACCGGAAGCTTCTGGGCAGGGGCCCAGTGCAGCCAAGCTGCACGCAAGCAGGAAGGCCACTTCCATTTAGAAAAGTGCCTGCCCACACATTCGGCAGTCGGGGACTGGCTGCATGTTGCGCAAGTGCTGCTGCGCTAACGCTGGTTAGCGCTCACGGGCTCACGGGCGAGCTTGAAGGAGCAGGCAGCCATAGCCGAGCTGCGCTGCTTTATGCTGGATGGGGCGCATGGTGGTTCTTGGGTGCATGTGGCATCTATGAGTTGGGGATCGAGGTTGTGACTGATATGAGAGACATACCTGGTGCTTGAGGCGAATGGCATTGGCCGAGATCCGTTCGTACTTCGGGGAGCTGTTGACGTCAGCAGCGGCATTGTAGATAGGCTAGATAAGATCTGCCGTCTGTAGTCTGGGCGCCGAGCGCCAGATAAGATATCGACATTGATTCTTCGTTGATGATGATGAGACTATTCCAGCATTGTCAATTATGAGCTTTTGCTGTGCTCTTATTTGCTGGAACTCGTGATGCAATTCTGCTATTGGTTCGAGGTCACGACTATCTGGTCTCATGTGTATGATGCTGTTTGATTTCTGAACTTCGCTATCACTCATTTTTCCTTGCAATTCCTTATTAAAAAAAAAAAAAGGCGATCCTCACCATAACTGATGAAAAGTGTTGCCTGTGCAAGGAAAATGAGCGAGAGCGTAAGACAGAAAACCAAATTGCAGTATCACGCTGAAGACCAGATAGCCGTGTAGCAAGCAGAAAGCACAATGCACCGAGATGCAAGCCAAATAAGAGCAATAAAATGAAGTCAAATGTCAATGTTGGCACTCTCTCACCACCACCAACATAGTGTCCAATGTCGCCCTTCTTGATTGGCGTTCAGTGCCCAGCCTATCCTACTCAGCACCTACTGTGGCCTACACTACGGTATGCAACAGCAGTCTTGTCAAGCACAAGACCAATGTACGCGACGTAGTCGCCAATGCAGACTGCCAGCATACACCAGGTACGTGTCTCTTCTCCCCTCGCCTCAACTCCGAAGGCCACCACCGCCCATACAAGCCTTCGCTCAGCCAGCCTGGCTATGGCTGTCGTGCGACCGCTGCCACCGCGGTGCGCCTCTCACCTCAAGCGCCTGCATGGGCCCTCAGGTCGCCCAGCGCCCAGGCAGCCTGCCTGCACTCAATGAAGCAGCATGGCCGCCCGGTCGTGTAAAGCCAGAATCCCCTCTGGCTGGGCACTCACTTTCCTACATGGAAAGTGAACCCCGCTCTTGGCTGCCCTGGCTGGGCCTGGCGAGCGCGTGCTCAGTCGCTTCACGCTGGGCCAATGTGTCTGCACCCAGGCCCATTCAGACAGTGGCCTGCGCCCGCAGCAGTTAAGCTGCCAAACCGTACGATGTGGGCAGCACTGTTCGCTGCCACCCCATGGGCCGAGAGGCCCTCGGCCACGTCGCAGCTGAGAAGAGCCTTGAGGCTCACGATGTCGTGCTCACACTGGCGAGGCCCTTGTAACTAAGCTGGAGTGGTGCAACTGTCTGGCGCCTCCACATGCAGAAAGGATAAAAGTAGGGGCTCATGTCAGAGAGCAGTCCCACCTTCACTTAGGGAGGGCACATTGCTTGCTGGCTGCCCTGGGCCAGCCGAGCGTGTGCCCAGTAGCTTCACGTTGGGCCAATGTGTCTGCGCCCAGGCCCATTCAGACAGTGGCCTGCGCTCGCAGCAGTTAAGCTGCCAAACTGTACGATGTGGCCAGCGCTGTTCGCTGCCACCCCATGGGCCGAGAGGCCCTGGGCCTGTTGCAGCTGAGAAGAGCCTTGAGGCTCACGATGTCGTGCTCACACTGGCGAGGCCCTTGTAACTAAGCTGGAGTGCTGCAACTGTCTGGCGCCTCCACATGCAGAAAGGACAAAAGTAGGGGCTCATGTCGGAGAGCAGTCCCACCTTCACTTAGGGCGGGCCCATTGCTTGCTGGGGGCCCTTTAGCCAGTCGGGTACCACGGCCTACCGAGAGCTCAATCCTCGCACTCCCTCCTCCTTAGCTTTGAAAGTTCCTGAGATGCTTCCACGCAAGTGCTTTCCCCTTCAACTTTTGTTCATATTCAGCAACGACCTGAACTGCTGTCTTGATCAGCTCCTCCTTCGTGAACCAACGGTCTTCCTTTGGATCCGTGTGGTGCCTGAATCTGACCCGGTACTCTCTGGTAGGTTTTGGCGGTCTTCCTCCGCGAACAGGATTTAGAACAGGCAGATCTCGATGATCCAGAAAGCTGTTGACGTCCACATGGTCATCCATGGTTGGGGGCAGCATTGATCTCCTTGATGGGAATTTCAGCGGAAGGTGCAAGCTTGGAAGCGTGAAAGATGGTGAGTGCACAGATGACGTTCTAATCACATAGGAGGGGCCATCCGGATCACTACCCACAATATCCAAGACTTGGACACCAAATTCAATGGTTCCAGGTATCACAGCTGGTCGGTTTTCAAGGAGAAGTAAGTCTAATGCTGATCTAGGCTTCCAACCAAAGTGCAGCTCATTTGGAGAGACACTGGTGGTGCTGTGAACAATGTTGTTGTACAGGTTGGCAATGAGAGGAAGTTTCTCATCCCAGTCCTCCTGGCTGAGCTGAATGTAAAGTCGCAGCATGCTGTACCGAACAGTCGAATAGTAGTTCATCTGCTCCGCTTGACCATTTGCTTCAGGATGATTGTCTGAAGTCATTTGGAGTTGGCTGCCCATCTGTTAATCTGCTTTCTTCCACATCTCGCTGGTGAAACGGACATCTGTATCACTAACTAGTGACTTAACCCACACATCGGTAACTGCACACAGGGATTTACGAACTCCATAGTACTAGCAGATAAACTATGGACATGCTACTGGTCAGTGGAAGATAAAAGGCAGCCCCTTTTGTGCCCCCCCAATGGGAGTGACAATTTTAGCTCACTGAATTCGTAGTAGCAGACAAGCTGAAGCTGGGTAATGGCCCTTTTTCTTTTTTTCAAAATGTTTGTTCATTCATGTTCTGATTTCTGAGTATGGGACGATGGACCCGGTTCCAACAGGTCCAGTTTCCCACCAATAGATTGAAGCCATCGGTCAGGAGGTACCACCAGGGGCTGCTCGTACCACCCTCCTTAGATGTTAGGAGGAAAAAGGCATTGGCTGGGAGCAGCTTAATTGTGGTCCTGACACACTTGCCCTTTCTTCCACAGGGCTGGTTCCTGCCAGGGAAAACCTCCGGCCCATCCCCTGTACTCTGATCTATATGCATTTCATATCCTAGGCAGTATGGTAATCTGTTCAATCACACTTGCCTCTGTACAACTGGGCTGATTCAATCCAGGGAAACTTCCAGCCCATCGATGTGCATGCCATATATATTGGTTTTGTCTCATATTTTTTGTATTGTATGTGGGGGACCTCCTTAATCACTGTAATCAATTTGGTTCCTTTACTTCCTGTCTGATCGCAGGAGGCAGAAGGGCATTGTCGGGTGTTGATGTCCTCTCCAGTTTTGGACAAGGACACAGCTTGTTTATGGCGCATGCAATGAACTTGCAGTTTTTCAACGCTGTAAGCTTGAACCAGGTGATTTTTGTAAATTTTCTGAGTTCTGGGCCGTAACTGGTAATTGAAACAGGCCTAGACCGATAGGGACAATGCTGCAATTTCCTAAATTACCCTGAACCGGCACTACTGGTCTGAAACCTCGTTAGGCCTAAACTGACTCTTTTGTTATTGCCTGTGATGGGTACCGCTGGGCAAAACACAGACCCGTGATTGTTAGCTGTGTCCTAGATTCTAGGACTCCAGTCCTGTAGGCTGTCGTAGAACTATAAATAGACTGTTCGTAGAGGTAGAGGGCTTTGGCCTGTAGGTCTTCATCTGGTAAAACTTTGGTTGGTTGGAGATTGTTGTTGATGCTGCCAGGCTGCTGGAGCAGCGCCATAGCTGGAGGCGACTGCCAGGGTTCCACAGCAGTGCGGAAGCATGTGCTTCGAGTGCTGAGCCACGGGACTGCATATCTGTGCTGTTGGGGTTAGGCGCTGCCATATGTTCTTCTTCATGGCAGTTTTATTTCTTTGTCTTCAAGCTGGAGACTCCTTCGTCATCCAGGGGCTTCTGCTGTCTATTCTGAGTGGCTCCTGGTCTGGCGCCGATGCATTTGAGTGATTCCTGTGAGGCGCTGGGTCAGATGGGGTTGCAGGGAGGTGGCGCTGATGGTCTGGAGGCTCCCGAGGCTGGGCACTGGTCTCAGGGAGGTGCGCCATAGCCAGGAGGTGAGAGGAGGATGTTGGAGGAAGGAGGAAGCCTCCAGAAGGCTTGAAGAAGCCATGTTTGAGTTTATTTGAGCTTGATTCCACTCAGTTGAGATTCTTGGATTCTTTGTGCAGCTGATTGAACTGGAGAGAGATGAGGGATTGTGGATCAAGTTTCTTTCAATTCTATTTGAATATTGAGCTTCCGCTGTGCATATTTCAGTCCTGTTTGGTGTGGATCTCCTCTCGAAGTCTTCTTGTCATCGCGCATGTGTATGTGAACATGTTGATGCTCTATTGGATGGAATTTCAATCAGTCACATAACACGCATGTAGCATCTTCCGGGAGATTAAACCATAAGTACCTCCAAGCCACATTTCCCAACTAGTACCAGCATCTCATGGAAAATCTCCACCTTAGACTGCATATAAATTCCGTATCGAAAATGGGCATAGTTACTTCATTTTCCGAAGGACTCTGAAGAAATGAACTGTCAGTGCACAACTGTAATGAGGAATGCTGTGCACAGACTCAATAGTATGCTACTAGCATACTGACGTTTCCTGTCTGGATTGCAGAAGGTTTGACTGCGTGCCTGATTTGATTGCTTCTATATGTATATTGGTACTTACGATCGTCTGGGTTCTCTCTTTGGTGACTATGTCAATTGCAGCTAGAGGACCAAGTTCGTGTGCTGGAGCAGCAGCTGCAGCGGCAAGTATCACTCTATCAAAATGCCAGAGCTGAATCTGAAGAGGTACGATGGTTTAGTGCCACCAGGTTGTCCTGCGGCTAAAGGAAATTGTCGTCATGGACTTCAATTTAATGTTTTTGCGGTATATATGCAGGTGGAGGTTGAGCTGCTTTGCCAGCCTGCCATTGCATTATGAAAACAATCAACCTTATGCAGTCTTCTTCCACTCCTTCCTGCCGCCTCCCCCCCCCGCCCTCCCTGCCCCCCTCAGTGTGTGCGCTGGTATCATGCACTTTGCCATGACTGTTAACCAGACTCACCCTAAGCCAAACAAGCCTCAAGTGGTTGGTGGGTGCCAAACACAAGGAATGCACGTTGATTCTTGCGAAAGACAGCAGTGGTTATAGAAAGTGTATGTTGTCAGGAAAGGAAGAGGTGGACAATGAAGAGATCATCTCATTTAGAGCGAAGTTCTGAGCATACTCTGTTGCATCCTTCAGCATCGCTTGTAAATTGTAAGTACATAGGTTTTGGCCCGATGTCATTGCTTTCTGACGGTCTAATCCTCACAATAGGCTCAAAAGACTTCTTCTGAGCAAGGTCAGGTGTATTTTACCCAATGGTTAAGTGGGTTAGGTCTTTCACTGCAATCAGCCTCCCCAATTCAACTCTGAACCCCAACATGCATGCCCAGAACATTTACATGAGAGTTCAGACACAAGCCAAAGATGCAACTCTTATCAGCGCTTATGAGAACTTCAATCAACTATTATATTACACGATGAAAGTGTTCGAGCATCTGGCGGCTTCAGCCGCACACAGCAACTGTAACCCGATCCACGTATGTATCCGATTCTTCTCCCTCGACCCTACTGTGTGATCCTCTCTCTCTCTCTCTCTCTCTCTCTCTCTCTCTCTCTCTCTCTCTCTCTCTCTCTCTCTCTCTCTCTCTCTCTCTCTCTCTCTCTCTCT